ATTCATGCTACATTTACTCCCTACTAATAAAGATGATCCAGAATCAATAACAATGTTTCCTCATTAGATGTCAAGATATATGCTTCCTACTACAATGAACATGGCCGTAATTTTTTTGTTGATAAAAATTACAAATAATTGAAAATGAAAATAAAAGAGATAAAAGTATGACTGAAATTTAAAATAAATTAAAAATCACCTGAATTCCATCACCCTGATATAACCACTACCACCATTTTGATATATACTCAAATTCACCCTCTATGCATACTCACACACACATACTTTATAGATATAATATCATAAATGTTTACTAATTGAAATAATTTTTTAGAATAACTTTTTCTCATTTTCCTCCCTCATCTCCTCCTCTCTTAAATAACCAATGCCAACAACCAGTTGTGCATCCTTTCATTTCTTTTGTCTTGGCTCTTAACATCAAATATTCATACATACAGAGCTGTTCACATATTAATGAGGGAGGGAGAGTCATTATTTAGGTAGAAGCTTATTGTAGGTGCTTCCCTACATCTTGCTTTTCTCATTTTACAGTGGAAATCCCTTCAAGTAAACTGGCATGCCAGTTCATTTTGTCTACCAGTAATGTATCCCAGCATTCCCCTACACAAGGATATTCTTTTATTTTCCTGAGCTAGAACTACCCACCAATTCCTGACCCTCAGTAACAGTGTGAAATAATAAATGCTTATTGTTTTTTTAACTGCATTGTTTTAGGGTAATTTGATACAGAGCAACAGATGACTAAATCCAGCACTCAAAACCAAAAGAAATATTAACAGTTCAACTTATTAAGTAGTTATGGCCAAACAACAAGTATTTAAGTTCTGACGATTTAATTGCCATTTGAAAAAAAAAAAAAGAGAGACATATATTTGAAGACCCCACTCATACCCCAACATGAGCTTGAGAGAGAGGAATTCAGGTTTATTCACTCTGGGGTGCCATTCTCAAAACATGCTATTCATCCTAGTACCAATGAATACATGTAAGACCCTCCTCATTCTGGGCAAAGAAAGGAGTAACTAAGAGGTGTTGAGTTTGATTACCACCCTTCTCTAGATAACCTGTACCATTATGTATATATACTAAACATAATTAACATTTCTTATAGAGTAAAGTACTGTCAGAATCAAACAGTACACCATAATAATAGTAATGCCTTAAATCTATAAAATCTAATTCATAGCCAATGGCTACCTGAGGCTATTTAATCTAAGCTAATGAAAATTTAATAAAATTAAAAATTGCTTTTGTCAGTTGTACTAGCCTCATTTCAACTGCTCAATAGCCACATGTTGATGGCATCTACCATATTATACAGCATAAATTACACAATATTTTCATCACTGCAGAAAGTTTACTAGATAATACTATCCTAGAGGCCACTAAAATATCCTAGTAGAATATTACTTATCCTTATACTAACAATGCCCTAAATGTTCTATTTTTGTTTTTCTATTTGTTACTGAGATTTTTTTTTTGTCTTCTCCCTCATAACACTTGGTCAGTGTGTACCCCATGTACAAAGTTGCTTCCAGTTGCTGAAATCTGATGAAATAATTAACCAAACAGAACAACAGTATATCCAAAGTAGATTCTAGAAAAAATTCTCAAGACCTAAAATTTCATTATGATGATTTTTTCCAGAATCCTCTTTTCCTTTAATTCTCAAAGCTGTTCAAGTTAAGCTAAATTAATTGTTAGTTACAGTATTGTCACTCTTCTTTATGGATTACATATTTGTGAATTCGCCTACTCACTAAAATTTATTTTTATCACCAAACTCAAGTCCAACAACACTTTCACAGTCATCCCAGTATCACACAGAACAGCAAAAAAATTGAGTCTCCTGATGCACTTTCTCCCAGATGAGGTCAAACAAGGGACACCGTACCTTTTTCTTTTAGCTTTCATAATATAAATAAATGTCCTTTTCATGACTATGTAGTGCCACATTTTTTTATATTTTTGTGCTTTCTGTTAATGATTTCCCTGTCTAAACTGGTCCCCATGTACAGTACTGAAGTGCTATGTAGTATTTCTAAATACAAGAAGACTTATGTGCCTTCCAGAGAAAATGTGTTAAATAAGCTTCGTTCAGGCATGAGTATAATGCTGTTGGCTATCTATATATATATAAAAGCCTAAGTGACCGTTACAACTGGTCAACCAAACAACCGGTCAACCAGTCTCTATGATGCACACTGACCACCGGGGGAAGATGCTCAATGCAGAGGTGCGCCCTGGTGGTCAGTGAGCTCCCACAGCCAGCTAACCTCCCTGCGGTCCCTCCCCAAAGCTGCCAGCCAGCTCTAATCAGCCCCAACTGGGACTTAGGTGAGATGGCCCAGATCGCCCCTGATCTCCGGCCAGGCCAAGGGAGTCCACCCATGCATGAATTCATGCTCTGGGCCTCTAGTGAATAAATAATATATATAAAGTAAGGTGTCTTTACACAGAAACACACATAAAATAAGGTTATGTATTGAGTGGCTGATGAAAATGTGACCAGAAGCTCATAGAAACCTAACTCAGTGAGTTACAATGAAAGATCCACCAAACTGGCAAAATATAAAAATTGGCCAGAGAAAGACAGGGAGAATACAATCCATAGGTACTTTTATACACTGCCAGTGAGAATATAAATTATACAGCCATTTTGTAAAATAGTTTTGCAATGCCTAACAAAAGTTGAACATAGTTCCTGGCCAGGTAGCTCAGTTAGTTTGGGCATTGTCTTGATATGGCAAATTTGCAGATTTGATCCCAGTCAGGGCACAGACAAGAAGCAAACAATGAAAGCATAATAGTAGAACAAACAGATGTCTGTCTTTCTCTCTCTTTCTCTCTCTCTCTCTGTTAAATCAATTTTTTTAAAAAGTTGTACATAGATATACCCTATGATCCAGCAATTTTACTTCAAAGAAACTCTTCAAAGCTTAAATAGTAGGATATTTATAAACATATACATATAACAGTACTGTAAGAAAGTGCTTAACAAAATATGAAATAATAGTTATTGGAATGGAATTAGAGGACGGATAATAGATGGGGCTCATAGGAGGCTTCAAAAGGTTGTGGTCAATTTTCATTTTTAAAAATGGTTGATGAGTAAATTGGTATGTGTTTTATTGTTTTTTTATACTGTATACTAGAGGCCCAGTGCACAAAATTGTGTGAGATCCAGACTCTCCACCCTGGTGGTACCCCAGACCCGCCTTGCGCGAGCCACGGGCACTGCCTCAGCCGCACCAGCCCTGCCTGCCCCATGGAAGTCCCACCATGCCGTATGAGTGGCAAGCCATGTCCCAACGCCAAGAGCTGCTCGCAAGCTGGGGGGAGGGACTGAGAGGTGCTCCAGCACCTCCTAGTATCTATGTTAGGGTGTGACAGCCACAGGTCTTTTATAGATAAAAGCTGTGTCTTTTTTTGGACACCAAAGAATGGTGTTTAAATGTGTCTTTGTAATGAAACATTTAAACACCAGGTGATTCAAAAATATGCAAATAGAAAAAAAATAATAAAAGAAAAAATAAGTACAGATACTAGTTTCCAAGAATAACAGAATAAAAAAAATTAAAGTTTTATTTATTCATCTGTTTTTCCTATGAGAACATTAATTCTTCCTCAAAGATAAGGACATAATGTGTTAATACTGAAAGTATATAACAAAGAATACTTACCTTTAAACCCAGATGACTACCGACACCACTTTGTTGGAAACTGCCCATTGCCTTCACTAGCAGAAAGAGGTAGACAAGGAATCCGAAGGCTGGTTAACCTTGAAGGCTCTGGCAAGGGTCAGAGCCAGGCAACCACAGTCTAGTTGAGACAAAGGGAGCTGAAGCAACTTCCACTTTTTAGTCTTACGTAAATCCTTGCTGATGGGCTATCATTGAACTTTTATTAGAATTGCCTGCCTAAGGGCTATGGGTGTATCCCCAAACCCGAATAAAAGGGATAGCAAGGACAGAGCAAAACAGTCCTTCCTCTAGAGCTGGGCTCCCGCCTGGCCCCCAATATTTCCAAATTAACATTTTCTTGTCTAGTCTCTTTCATTTGCGTGCGGCCTCCTCCAGAGCCTGAACCTTGAACCTGAACTCTGAACCATGTGGGATGTGGGGGGAATACTTGCAAATGGCAGCCCAAAGTGGGATACTCGCAACTGACATTCAAGATGGAGCACCCGCATCATTGTCAAAGAAAAAATTTAGCTCATGTTCCTGATGTCATCTAAATATGATACTTCAGAAAAGTAACAAAGTTTATTTTCCCCTAAAGGTAGTCATTGAGTCACTGAGTCAAAGTTCATTCTACTAGAATTTCCTTAAACATACACAAAATGCCTTGAGTTTCGTTGCAGAAGTCACAACTTTTGCTCAGATCAGTACCCCCAATCAGTTTTACTGCTCAGAACAGTAACAGCACCTTAACCAGTTCTTTTTATCTATTTCATATATAGATGAAACAAAGGGAAAGGGAGAGAAAGATAAAAACATCAACAATGAGAGGAAATCATTGATCAGCTGCCTCCTGATTACGGGGGGGATTAAGCCTACAACCCAGGCATGTGCCCTGACAGGGAATGAACCATGACCTCCAGGTTCATAGGTCAATGCTCAACAACTGAGCCACATGGGCCAGGCTTAACCAGATCTTTTTAGTTAATATTTCTCTCAAATGAATCAAGAAACTTAGTTTTGTATCATTAGTAATTCAGAAAAAAATAGAAATTAGATTTTAAATGTTTCAGTAGACAGAAGTATAAAGTTTATATTTCATCAAATTCCACACTGCATTTATCTACGAAATAAAAATCCGTCCAAAATTTAAACAAGAAAAAAAAAAAAGAGGAAATAAAAATTAACTCATAATTTCAAATACTGAATAAACTATTAATGAAATCCATATAAATGCCAATCAATTATCTATTTAAATTTTTATTTCTAAATAGTATCTGAAGTTACACATAATCTTACCTGGGGAGGATAATTGCTCTCTGAAGACCACCTTGAAGATTGGTCATTTGGTTTATCCACTAAAATATTCCTGAAATAAAGGGAAGAAAATTATAGAAATTAATTTAAAAAGTAAGTGAACATAAATATGCAAAGAGATAAATAATCTACCAGATGCTAAAATTATTATCAAGGTATATAATGTCTGGAATTTGAAAAAGAGGAGAAAATAAAACAGAAACAGAAAACATCTAGTATATATAATATTCTAAAATATGATAAAGATAGCATTTCAAAATATTGAGAAAAACCAAGAAAAACATAGTTCTACTTCATATCAAGTGACAAAATGACCTGAAGATGTATTTAGGAATTTTAGGTAAAAAAACAAAGCAGTAAAATACCTAATAATAAATAAAATACCACATATGTATTATATTAGATATAATTATATTGTATTATTATATATTATATAATTGTTACATATTACATTTTATGTAATATTTATATAATCAACCTATGGACCAAGAAATTCTTTTAGCTCATCATAAAAATAAAAATAAATGTAGGTGAAAAAAGAAATTGATATAACTAACTTTGGAAAACGGTGCCTTCACTGGAAACTGGAAACTAAAGATAAACGGAATCATACATAAAAATTGTACTTGGTAACAATTTTTAACAAAAATGGTAAACTTGTCTTTTACAGGAGCATGGGTTAACTCTGAAACACTATCTATATGTATATCCAGGTTGAACAAATAAATAAATGGATTGTAGCTGGTGGGAGCTAAGCTTCTCACATTGGAGTGGGGACAGAAAAGTAGTGGGAGGTTAGGAAAAACCAGTGGTATTGGATTAGAATCAAAGATATCAGTGTGAACTCAGGTTTAGTTTAACATAAATAGGTTCACAAGTAATAATAGATATGTGTGTGTACACACACTGATCCTACTTCTGCTCCTAAGAGAGACTAGAAGCAGTGACACTTCAGTGGCAAGGAACACATCCAGATCTTGGTTTCTACATATCACAGTCCAATAAAATAAATTGGGATTGTTGGGGAAGTGCCTAACTCTAAGGTCAGAGCAGGAAATTCAAAAGATTAAAGCCTAGAACACCATGTAATATTACCAAAAACAAACAAACAAACAACAAGAAAATAATTAGGGCATGCCAAAGGTGCAGAGAAATCAACATGAAAGAAGAATAAATGGTCAAAGCTGAAATAATAAAATAACAAAATAAATAATGTAGTATTAGATTATAGACCAAAGTATAAAATAAATATCCACGGGTCCATACTGATATTCTGCAGTCTAATGATCAGAAAAACAACCTCAAATTAACATCATCATTCCACAAAATACATGACCAGTAGTCCTAAAACCTCTAAATAAAATGAAAAGCAAGGAAGACCGAAAAACTGTCACAGATCAGAGAATAAGAAGGAAACATGACAACTAAAAGTAGCTGACCCTTAATTGGGTCTACTTAGATGAGGATGTTTTTCAATAAATAAGGGCAGTACTGTGACAGCATTTTCTTCTTATGATTTTCTTAACATATTCTTAGATCTATACCTGGTATACAGAAGGTACTTAATAAATATCAAATAGATGAATGAATAAAAATCTTTAAAGGCAGAACTATACAGAAAATTATTTTTATATACACATTTCACAGAGGTAAAAATAAATACATAAAATGACCTCAAACAAAATTAAAAGGCAAACAAACAACTACAAAAATAAAAGCAATTTTAAAAACTACAAAAAACTAACTTAAACATTCAAAATCAATAATAATCAAAAATTGGAAATTAAAACAAAGATAGATTATCCCTATAATATTGTGCTCACACCCTAAAAAAAAAAAAAAATGCTTTAATTATAATCTCAGTTATTGGCTAGAGCTAGTAAATAGTATTTCATATTTTGCTAGTAGAAATGCAAATTGATAGAACTTTTTAGGAGAGAACTTTAATATAATACATATCAAAAACATTTTAAGTGTTCATATATTTTAAATAAAAATAATGATGCCAACCATGATGATGCTAGCATCTAACATTTGTGAGCTTTTACTATATCCCAGAAACTGTTCTAAGTATTTTCCATAGATAAGCTACTTAGAAACTGAGACAGATAAATTAATTTGCCTAAATATGCATACATAAGAAATAAGGATCGGAACCCAAAGCAATCTGATTCCAAAGTCAATGCTCTTAATCACCACACTATACAACCTCAGTATTATTCCACTTCTTGGAACTTAACCTAAACAATAATCTACCACATGTAAATCACCCACATTCCTTACAGCACAATTTATAACAGCCAAAGAGTGTAAACAACCTAGTTGTCTAACAATAAGGAATTCATTAAACAAATTATGACATACTTACGTTATAAAATATTAATACCATGTAATCATGATGTATTCTACAGCTTGACTTTAGTATAGTTGCAAATGTTCATTACATATTAAGTGAAGGGAAAAAGTAGTTTACAATACATACGTGATTAATCAAGTGTTGTATCTACACTAATAAAAAGACTAAGATATAAATTGACTGTACCTTCGCTACGCCCACCAGGCAATCAGGAGTGAATATGCAAATTAACTCAACAAAGATGGTCTACCCTGCCCCGCCCCGCCCCAGCTGCTCTGGGCCTCTGGGTAGTGTGGGAAAGCAGAAAAGCAGCTCCGAGCCAGAGCAAAGGCAGTGCCAGCAGCCAGGGAAAGGAAGGCCCATTCTTGCATGAATTTTTGTGCATTGGGCCTCTAGTGTAATAACATTGATGGAGAAAAGACAAAGAACTTATACTACAATAGCTCTCAAGGTTGAGATGAGAACAACCTTTTTGCCTTCTTTGTGCTCTTGTAGGGTGCCCTCTACATCCCCACCTGTCACTGGTGGAAAGGAGTTCTTGGGGTACCACAGGGAAAAGAATTTCCTGAGGCCCTCACAAAAGGATGGTGGAACACTTTATTATGTAAAATTAAGGGGGTTCCCTTCCAAGGTCCCATCTCCCTCTGTCTTGCTATGGAAAAAGTCTAATCCTGTTCAGAAGGGCTAAAATTAAAGCCACTGACCAGAGTCTCTACACTATAATAAAGCACAGTTAGCTTGGTTTGCATTTCCATCTGCATTCCATTTGTGTATAGGGTCTGCATGCCCTTGAGTTTCCATCCGCAGTCCATTTGTGTATAGGGCCTGCTTAAAGCCACACGGTGATGCCCAGAGGGTGTGGCTCAATAGTTGAGTGTCACCCCATGAACCAGGAGGTCATGGTTCAATTCCAGACTGGGCTCATGCCCAGGTTTCAGGCTGGATTCTGAGTGGGGGGTGGGCAAGAGGCAGAGATAAATGATTCTCTCTCATCATTGATGTTTCTATCTCTCCATCTCCTTTCCTCTCTGAAATAAATAAAAATTAAAATTAAAAAAGATACTCAGGAATAAACTTAATCAAGGAGGTAAAATAATTGCACTCAGAAAACTACAGGATATTGAAAAAAGAGACAGAGGAAGATATAAACAAGTGGAAGAATATACAATGTTCATGGATTGGTTGAATTAAATGATAGATCTTCCCTTCCTCCAACTGATGGACAGACGTAAACTCCACCTGCAGCCGGACATTCCTGAGCACTGAACCACCAATCAGCACCTGTCAAATACCCTAAAGCCCCCAATTCCTAAGTCCTTAGGTCCTTAATCATAGGCCTTACATGAAACCACCAATTAGCGTGTGCTAAGTTCCCTAAGCCCCGTTCCCTATCCTCCCCTTAAAAAGTGCTTGTACTCCGATCCTCACTCTCTCCTGCTTTCTCTCTGGAAGCAGCCAGCAGTGGTACTCTTCTCTTCAATAAAGCCTGTGTCCTGGCATCCTGGTCTCCGGCAACCCCACTCTATTTCATCTTTCATTAACAAGGTTAAAATGTCCATACTACACAAAGCAATTCATAGATTCAATGCAATCCTCATTAAAATACTAACAGCATATTTCACAATATGAACAAACACTTCAAAAACTTATATGGAACCAAAAAAACCCTGAATAATCACAGCAATCTTGAGAAAGAAGAACAAAGTTGGAGGGATCACAATACCAAATATCAAGTTATATTACAAAGCCACTGTAATCAAAACAGTCTGGTACTGGCACAAGACAAAAAGATCAATGAACAGAACAGAGACTCCAGAAATATACCCAAGCCATTATGCTCAATTAATATTTGACAAAGGAGGTAAGAGCATACCATGGAGTCAAGACAGTCTCTTCAATAAATGGTGTTGGGAAAATTGGAAAAGAACTAAGGGCACCATCAAACAACTTTCAAGAAACAATCCTGCCAACAATTACATGAGCTTAAATGCAGATTTTTTCCCACTCAAAACTCAAGATAAAACCCCATCCTTTGCCAACACCTGTAACAGATTTGAAGCAGAGGACACCTACATAGTAAACTATGGCCAAAATCTTGACCCTCATAAACTGTGCAATAAATGTGTATTATTCGAGGCTGCTAAGTTTGTGATAATTTGTTATAGAGCAATCAGAAACTAACACAATGTCCTCTTCTTGATGCATATATCAATAGAAATATTTAAGAATGAAATAATCTTATATTCATTTTATATTAACCTTAAAACATACCAGAAGGAAGAAAATGAGATGAGTGCAAATTGTTTTATAAAAAGTCAGGCAAAATGCTGATAGTTGTTGAAGATGGAATTATTAGTATTCATTTTTCTCTATTGCTGAGTGTGCTTGGAAAATGTTCATTAAAAGTTTCTGAATGAATGAATTAGTAGAGTGATGATGACAGCAAACACACAAGATCTTGGAAGTGTAGCTGTTAGGGAAGCAGATAAACGGGACATGTGAGATTAAGGCAGTTTTTTAAGACTAATGAAAGTTGGTCCAATGGGCATTGAATGGGGCAGAAGTAGAAACTGAGTGGTGGATAACATAGGGGAAAAAAAGAGATAACTGAATGAACAAAATCAGAATAAGATCCAAAGTATAAGAGAAAGAACTAACCTAAAATGATCTCTCCCAATTTAACAGACAAAAAAAGA